GGAGGCACCACTGTTACAGACTTCCTTAGCTTTGGAATCACTAGTACTCATCTCAACTCCCTTTTCATTATACACATGGTGCTGCTCTGAAGCCTGTCTCTCTTTTTGTTTTTCACCTGCTCTCTGATGCGCCACTTCCCTAGCAATGCTTATTTCACCATTGCCCCTGGATTGCTTTTCACTGCTCTCCTCTGGGCTGCTGTGTGGTGACACGTCTTCAGGTACAGCGAGAGAGGGTTTCGTTTCTTGCTCAGATTTCAGAGTCTTGCAGACTGGTGGAATGCCCTTGCCAGGGTCCATGTTTGTGGGCAGGTGACGGGACACAGAGACTTTCTTTCCTGGAAGCTTGGGTGACAGCTGTGGAGAAACTGACGTTCTTCTCTGATCAGTCCCACCAGCTTTTGCAGGACTAAAGCTTGGAGCTTCTGAATTTGCCTTTGTTTTACTTTTAATAGTGAGGCCCTTTAGCTTTGGTCCTGTTTTGGCTCTCTGGCTATTTAAAATAGTTTCCACAATAGTCCTTTGGGCCATGGCTTTAATTTCACTATGTGATTTTTTCTGTGAGGTTGGGCTCTGCAGTACTGTTACTCCTTTGCTGGAGTTTCTGCTGCAGCTTTGGATTTTTGCATTAGAACTCCTTCCCAATGGCACACCATTCACTTTTTCATTTTTCCCTGACAAGTCATGGCTAGTACTAGTCTTACTTAGATCTTTTGATTTAGTAGGAGTGGGTGACCTGGACGTGTGCGTTGATCTTTGTGATAAAGAGTCCATGCGATTGCTATCTGCTTTATTCAAATTAGCCAAACTGTTTGTTTCTTTCTTTGTCAAAGCAGAATGATTACTAACCTTTCCCTCAGAAGCCACTAGTTCACTTTCAAATGTAGATCCTTGTTCTTTATCATGTTCTTTGTCCAGCAAATTATTTTCCAAGCCATTCATGTTTCCAGCAGTGCAGAAACTCTCAGTTTTGCTCTGCAAATCCAAATTGTCTTTGGAAGACTCGCATGGCTTCACAAATTTGTCACTGCTCTCCACGTCCATTCTGTCTTCTGTACTTAAGGCACTGTGGTTGTGGAAGGAGTTAACTGGATGAATACCCAATGGAGGTTTTAGGGCATCTTCATCTGGAATTGAAACTGAGGGAAAAGCATGCACAGGAACAGCAGGAACAACATTTAAATGTTGTGGGATATGTGGAATTGAATTACATTGATCTTCCAGTATAAGTGGAGCTTTGTCATTGTTTGTATCCAATGAACCACAGCTCTCTGTTTGTACAACTTCTGCCACATGAGAGGATGGTGAGGAATGATGGAATACACTTCCAGGAGACATGAGCTGCAGATGCTCCCGAATGGAATGTTGTGGCTCATTATTCATGCAGCAAATTTCAATTTGCTCCTCATCTGACTCTGTAACATGGCATGTTTCAGAGGATTTACTATCAGCTGATGGTAAGAGCAAAACCTCGCCAGCAGCGTCTGGGGCTTCGGTGACAGATTCCGAGTCTGAATGGGAATCCTCTGCAGCACCATACATAGATTTTGGAAATGGTTCATTTCTTGTATCTTCCATGGTGTCTGCTGAAGGCAAATCATCTACACTTAGACTACTAAAATTTCTAGAATAGTTATTTAAGCAGCTTTTATTCACAGTAAAAAGTTTGCCTGTATTCATGGAATCCAGTACCGTTAAATCCCAAATCCCCTGTGCATTAGCTACACAATTCACAGTTTTTTCATGTAGCTCCTTCTGTGCTCTATCTGGCTCAGAATTAGTAGAACAACCTTCTTCTGTTTCACAACTGCACTCGACAGGGCACTCATCTCTGGGGCTTGCCACTGACGGTAGAGACGGAGAAGTTCTATCCTCTGAAGAATTCAATTTGCTTACGAAGTCATCAATATCAGTGATTGGGCTCACAGTGTCATCCTTGGCACAGCTGACCGCTGAGGGACCTGCCTGCACCTCTTCACTCTCGGCATCAGGTGGCAGCATTGTTATCTTTTTGACGTTGTTTGGATTCTCATTTTGCAAAGTTTTCTCTTCACATTTTCCAGAACTGGTTTCCTCTTCCCCAACAAGGATGCTGCAAGGGTCAGCCTGATCTGAACCATCAGTTCCTGAAGACAGACGGAGGTTTGTAAGTTTGTCCATAGCTGTATCGAGGTTAAAAAGAAAGGAAATCAAACCAAACATTTAGCTCTCATTAGTTATGTTAATAGAATATTACACACACAATACTGTGTTCTTGCTGCAAAAGTAGACACACATTCAGGACAGATGTTTCCCTATAGCGCTGCCCTTCTTTTTTCCTGTAATTTACAATTTCTAGAAATAATCACATTCCAGCTGGATCAGGATAATGTAGGTAGGGGGGAAACTCATTTTTAATTAGTACTTGTGATTTGTTTAATTCTTAACTTTAATGGTTAGTATCCCATTTACATTTTAAAGTGTAAGAACACAGCCAGTTGGGCTTAGCTGTGTTCCTTTGCATTAACCCTACAACAAAGAGGAGAAATATACAGGACTAGACTGAAATAAACTGTACCGAATACCTGAAAACCAGTGCACTAATCACAGGTGCTTAGCTACTGAGTGATGTGAAATGTATAACTACTTTGGCTCTGATCCTGCAAGGACTCATCCATATGCTTCATGTTACGCCTCTGAGTAAAGTTATCTTCTCTTTCATCTCAAACATTGAGCCCACCCACTAGCAATTTATTAACTGCCCGGAACTCCATCCACTCATCCACACGCACATTCTAACTCTCCTGCCTCTCCCAGTTTGCCCATTTACATCACAGATGACAGCAAAGAGGTGGATTGCGTAAGGAGTAAGTGTACAGGAACTGGGAAGGGTTTTCAGGCAAAACGGAGGGTTCTCTTAGGAAGAATGCCAGCCTCCTATAAGTCTACTGCCAGAATCCTCTCAATGCCCAGGCTAGACTAGGGCAGAGGTAGGGACTCTTCTTTCGGTCAGGGGCCACACACAAGTAAAAAGCAAAAGCAAGCCTCATTCAGCTGCATCTAGGTGAGAAGCGCAAAAAAACAAAAACAAAAAAAAAACACCCTCCCCCCCAAAAAAACTAACCCCCTCCCCCAAAAAACCACCATCAACCACCAAACCAACCAACCTCACTCACACTCAACTCAGAATACCGGGGCTTTTCCCATTCCAGCTAGCCAGCGCTCATGTTCCAGACCCATGGAGGTAGAAAGGCTTGGGGGTTCTGGCCCACACTGGGGAGACTTGCCACAAAATGGATTAAATTAAGCAGGGGGCTAGATCTGGTTCCCCAGCCCTGGCCTAGGGATTTAGGAACAGGACCACCCAGCCTGCCAGAAAACCCTTAAAAACAGCTGGTGTCTAAGCATCACTTATTTGGAAACTAGTTAGACCTCTAAGAATTAACAGCTGAACAAAGAAGAGTGTATTTTAGCTAAGATAAAACCAAACGTAGTGCTGCTCCTGAAGGCGCAACATTTACTGTTCTTTTCAACCACTGTTTGCCACACTGCATAATTCATTTAAATTGTGGATACAAGCATACTGCAGGATAAGCATAAATCTTTTCAGTGGGAATAACTAGGTATCAACATTTTCACCTAAATTAGAAACAACTCTTTTACAGCTAAAATGCAAATAGCCATTTCAACAAGATTCAAGCACTGCACTTCTATTTTATACTTCCTTTCTGAGCATAAGAACTTTCCGATTTTCTAAGGAAATACCTGGATTTCATTATTTTACTATCTGATCACAAAATGCAAGTTAAACTCCATATTTTCAGAGACAGAATTGACTAAAAGAATCAGAACATTTAAAAGCTCAAGACTATCTTATGCGTAGTCAAATTAACTTGTCATTTATCAACAAGACATTGACTGCAAATTTAAATGTCACATGTGACCCTTTTTAATACTTCCATAATTAAATTCCATAATTAATTTGCTTCTGAATTAGAAGGTTGAAAGCTGCTCTAAATATTCAGATCCTTTTAGTCAAATATTCTGGAGCTATTATTTTAAATGTAAGCTTTAAATGTTTTGTAAAGGTGAGAAAATAGCACTTCATAATGCCATGTTATAAATGACAAAGTCTGATTCTGTAATGAAATGCGCACACACTTTTTTCTGAATTATCTTAGATGCCAGGTCAGCAAAACACCTAATCAAGCTTTTACCATATTCAAAACAAACAATGAAAGAGTAAAAAAATGCTCTCACCTGATACTGCCTTTTGCACATCTAGTGTAACAGACATGGGGAGATTCTGTATGAACAGACAGATTTGCTGGTATGTCATTCCACTGAGTGGGATACTGTTGATGGACAAAATCTCATCTCCTACTGCCAGCTTTCCCGGAGATCCCTAATATGGTCCAGAGATAAATGAATGTAAATACTCGAGAGGCTCTCTCACAGGAGCAGAGCGCATAGCTTGTGGTACAAGTATAAATGTTCTACAAGCAATGCTCCCAGGTCCCAGCGGTTACAGAAGGCAGGCCACTGGCATTACTTTACTCAGTTTACAGACAAATACAGTGAGGAACAGAATGACACATTTTGTGATTAGCAAGTGGGGGAACTGATGACAAAATGAACCTCCCCTCCCCAGAAGTGGATGAGAGTTTTGTGGGGCCCAGGGCAGCACAATTTTGCGGGGCTCCCCTTTGGAGAAAAAATAGAAAAAAAAAAGGCAACAAAAGCGCAAATTGAAGGCTATTTTCACATTAAATGTGAATTGGGTAAATCTGATGGAAACTTAATTTAGTTGGATAATTTTTATTTTAATTATATTGTAAGTCATTCTTAAACAAAATTCTGCATTCATAATTAAAAGTTTTCATTTGTATTTAAGTCTCCTCCCACTCCTACCTCACTCTTTCTTTCTCTTCTCCTCCTGCCTCACTCTCTTTTTCTCCTCCCCCTCCTGCCTCTCACTCGCGGAGCCCAAATGGCCGTTTGGGCCCCGTGCAGCGTCCCAGCTGAGCGGCATAGAACTCAACCGAGCGCCACAGCGGGAGGCAAAGGGGGGCGGGGCGGTGATGTACACGCCAGGGGGCGGGACCTGGAGCTTCTGTCACACCCTTCGCCTCCCGCCCCCGGCCGTGTACATCACTGCCCCGCCGCCCTTCGCCTCCCGCTGTGGCACTCGGCTGAGTTCTGTGCCGCTCAGCCAGGCCGCCGCGCGGGAGCAAGCAGCTCAAGTGGCCATTTGGGCCCCCTATTGCGGTGCAGGGCCTGAGGCAGCTGCCCCGCTTGCCCTGCCTTATATCCGCCACTGCCCCTCCCAGCCTTTGTGACTCAGCACAGAGACCAGCTACTTGTCAATGACGGTATTGGTGATGTTTCTTGGTTCCCAAAGAAATTAGTGTGAGGATGATGCTGTGGTCACTTTAGAGATATTCTGGCTGAATGAACCACAGTTTCTCTAGGATATCACCAAGCAGTGCTTCCTCCTAGTTATCACCTCTCGGTATCTGACTAGTTACTTGGGGCCGTACTCATCTCCCGTTAAGCCAATCTGAATCTTTTCAGTGCCTTAAAAAATGAGCTAGTATTGGCTAAATATATATCCCATGGTTCTATAGTAAATCAGTGGTTGAAATAGGAACAGGATTCAGGAATCATGACTCAGACCCCTGTTCAAACCACTTTGCCATTCATCTCTCTCACAGTAAAGATTCACTAAATCAGCTAAGAACACTATGTCACATGTTCACACAAAAATTCTTCATACAGTTGAACAATTTGCCTAAGGTCAGCATTCAGTACCTACATCAAGCAGATAAAATTATCCCCACTGTAAGAAGCAGATAAAATACAAAGCAGATAGATAGATAGATAGATAGATAGATAGATAGATAGATAGATAGATAGATAGATAGATAGATAGATAGATAGATAGATAGATAGATAGATAGATAGATAGATAGATAGATAGATAGATAGATAGATAGATAGATAGATAGATAGATAGATAGATAGATAGATAGATAGATAGATAGATAGATAGATAGATAGATAGATAGATAGATAGATAGATAGATAGATAGATAGATAGATAGATAGATAGATAGATAGATAGATAGATAGATAGATAGATAGATAGATAGATAGATAGATAGATAGATAGATAGATAGATAGATAGATAGATAGATAGATAGATAGATAGATAGATAGATAGATAGATAGATAGATAGATAGATAGATAGATAGATAGATAGATAGATAGATAGATAGATAGATAGATAGATAGATAGATAGATAGATAGATAGATAGATAGATAGATAGATAGATAGATAGATAGATAGATAGATAGATAGATAGATAGATAGATAAATAAATAAATAGGAGAAAATGTTTACATCCTAAATTGCAATACAATTCCTTCTTATTAATAAGCAATGTACATTTTACCATGAATGTTTTATTTTTCTAAATTACTCTCTTCCTTACATAAACTTTTTGTTTCTGGTGAAGTGGAAAAATGGTAGTGAGCCCTGAAACAATAATTACTAATCTGTCTTATTTCATTTTGGTATTTTTTTCTTGCTACCTTTTTCAAGCTTAAATCAGATGGGGGTAGGAATATGTCTCTAAAACATTTAGTTTAATGGCATATTAGAAAGATAAGGAATGAGACATTCATTCTTTCCAGTGCAGGTAAATCTCTTGTTTGCATGCATGTATAATGTCTCACTTATCAACTATTAATCTCCACAAAGAGAAACCCAGGAATAAACATCCACAAATGAATCATATTTCTAAAATGTTACCCTTTCAGCAGCTCCGCCTGGTCGTAAACCTGTTACCACAACTCTCACGGGAGTGGTCTGGATTTCCAAATCCAGACCAAATGATTCATCTTCATTCCGAAGCAGATTTATTGTTTCAGCACTGCTCTGCCTGGGGATGTCGGGTGGTTCAGTCTTTTTGCTGTGTGGAAGTGTCCTGGCAAGAGGCTTATGACAACAACTGTGCTCCTTGATTTTCTGCCTTGGAAGATTTCGGCACTCAGCACTCATCATACTTTTTACTCTTGTGACTGCTTTGTGCTCTAGTTTAGGGGATCTCAGAGAGTCAAGCTGTGCCTCTCGGAGCTCCTTCACTCCCAGATTACTAGGAGGAATCTCAGGCATACCCGAGTAATCGAGTGCTTTGTTTTGAAAGAAGGAAGAGTCCGTCATTTGCTCCAGGGCACTCTCCTCAGACATCAAGGAGCTGTTGAACACAGGGGTAGCTGTCTTACTTCCAGTGTGTCGAGACAATTCATCATCCTGGCCTTCATCGTCAGCTTCAACGGAAGAAGTGATAATGATGGCAGAATCTTCCTCAGTGTTTGTCTGGCTCCTGTCCTGCTGGCCCCTTTGGAAGTGGGCATCTTCTTGCTTGACAAAATCATCCTCATCACTCACATCACCATCATAGAAAACAACCCTTCTCTGCCTCTGCAGGGGGCTGCGAACAGATGTGGGGCTACCATTAAGGCTTCCCAGTTGGGCAGATTCCACATGCTTGCTGAAAAGACCAGGTGACTTTCCACTGGTTGGTGAAGCAAGACTATCTGCTTTGCTCACTCCTCCTTCTTTAGCAGCTAGAAAAGAAAGAATTTATTACATTTTTAATTGGGCTTATTTGACTAGTTTTGTGCTGAGCATTCTACAGCAGCCACTTTACAAAGAGACGTGTTTGTTGCAACAGAGGATTTTTGCTGTATCCGTGTAGAAAGGTTGAGCTGTTTTCCCACATCTTTCACTCTCTAAAGCGTACCTACTGTTAACAGCACTAGGGATGAAAGATGGTCTCCTGATTTATCAGTGTTTACTGATATCTGGTTTTATTCTCAGCCTGCTTCTGAACCAGGACTGTGCCCACAAGAAGAACAGGGATCCCACACACATTTATTTTTTAAATTCAAAAAGTAGAAAATCATTGCAATTCTGCTTAAATCTATGCAAAGAACTGACCTAATCGATTCACAGTGTGAGAGACAGAGAGAGAAAGACGCTCAGAGACAAAACACAAGCACAATCGGTTTCATTCTAAAGCAGGGGTCTCTAACCTTTTTAACCATGAGATCACTTTTTGAATTTAAGTGCAATCCACGATCTACCTCAAACTGAAATACCCTGGCCCCGCCTCCTTTGTGCCCCTTCTCTGAGGCCCCGCCCCTACTCACTCCATCCTCTCTCCCTCCCCCATCCTCCCTCACTTTCACCAGGCTGGGGTGCAGGCTCTGGTCTTCGATTAAGGGATTTGGAGTGCGAGAGGGGCTCGGAGCTGAGCTTGGGACAGGCAGTTGGAGTCCGGGGGGGGGGTCTAGGTGTAGGCTCTGAGACAG